TCCCAGCATGGAGAAGAGATAAAAGTTTTAACAACCAATATGAACTAAACTGTTCACTGCTAAATATGATAAAATGCTTAACTATCGGTATCACAGGAACATGAATCAACGGGGGCAGAGTCAGTAGTGTTGAAGAAGTATCCCAGAGGCTTTGGGCAATGTCAGGGATTGTAGCTTCAGATGGTTGGTCCACTTGTCTTAGAGAGTGCCACTAGGTCCTGCCCAACCCATTGGAAATATTTCATTATTTTAACAATCATTATGGTAATAAGTTTGGGAACATACCAACTTCAGATCAAACACTAGACTGGTTCATAGGCGAAAGAAAAGGGAGACTGGGGAAAAAGAACAAAAGCACAGCTGGAGTTAATGGTGGAGAGAAATGACACAACACAAACTGTTTAATAAGAGAATTATTTAGAGACCGCTTGAGGTTATATACAGATTCTGGCTATGTGCAATGCTTAAATAAAACAATTAGAAACATTTAAATGAGAGTAAGTAAATAAAGGGATTTTGACTGTGGCTTCCACCATTTTGACTGACACAAAAGCAAAATCTGGGGAAAATTTCAGTAGTCTTGGATTTTTGTGGGAGTAGGGGTATACATGTGCCTTGACTACTTAACTAGTTTTTTAATACATCACATTAGAATTAGAATTTTGATTCTATAAAAGATGTGAACATTCATTGATAAAATTGGGTTCTTGGCAGTACAAAGGTTGAAAAATAAGCTAAGTAGAAGCAAACACAAAGAAGACATGTAAAAAAATCAGTGTCCGGAAAGATGAAATTAGGAATAAACAAATCTAAAGTTTAGGTGCACGAGACAAAGCCTGCCAAGATGGCATCAATGGGGAAAGTGTTCCTTTGGGCAAGTGTAGTGTGGGATCCTAACATCTAATTACAAATAATTAACAAATGATATACTAGTTCCTGAGGCTTCCAATAGACCTTTCATATGTCCTGACACCTTTTAAAGTTAAATATAAAGGCTTTCAAATTAAATACAGAACATAACAGTTGGTAGGGGAGAAAAGTTAACCACATAAAAGAGTGGAGCTTTTTTAAAATCACCTACTGTGAAAAACAAAATTCATCATTACATAATGGTACTTTACTTATTCAACTTCCTCAACTCTCTCAAACAGAACAGAAAATTAGGAGGAAGTTTAAAAAAAAAAAAGCTTCTAAATAACAAAAATAAATATCCCAAAGGTCATGTAGTCAAACTTATAGACTGACTTGCAGGAAAGTCCCTCAGTTCTCTGGCAGAGCCTATTTGCTCTTGGACACTACTCAAAATATTGTGATTATCTGTTAATAGAAGAGCTTTGAAACTACCACCCAAAGTGGGGACAGAGGCCATGCATGAGCATATTGGCAGTGTTAGGGAGAGAAAGCCAGAACTTAAAAAGAGGGGGCTGAAAATCCAAACATAAGAGACCAGCAAAAAGGCATTCCTAGAGGACCACTGTCCCCAAAGTTAACTGCCCCTCATGTCACAAAGCCCTTGCAGAAAACAGGGCATACAATAACTTGTGCTCCAGTAGGCTAAGTTTAGTTAATGGAAGCATATTCCAGCTCAAAACTCAAAATGCCTAAGGAAAATGGGAAATATAAGAAGGTTTCAGGTATTAAAATAACTCACCAATGAAGCAAGGTAGAATAGGCATTATTCCACCACTTTTGTGATTATCATCTATTTGGTACATGCCATGGAAAAAAAATAGCTTTACTTTTCTTTATGAATATATATGATTGCTTCTGCTGCAACTCAGGAGCACCATCCCAGGACTTAATCATTTCCTGGTAGGCGTTCACATCTAAAAACCAGTGCCCATTGACATTTTTTCCCATGGTTACACAGGAAGTTCAGAGATCAGAAATCCTCAAAGTAAAGTCAGCATTATCTTTTATCTTTTTCCTTAAGTTAAATCAAGAGACCCTTGTTTTATATGTAAGATGAGACTTTAGGGTTCAAAGGAAGATTAAGAAAGAAGGACTAGGGCTGGGATGTATCTTAGTGGTAGAGAACTTTTCTAAAATGTGTGAGTCCCTGGGTTCCATCCCCACACTGCAAGGGGTGGGGGGCAGTGGGTGGAGAGAGACAGAAATGCAACTTGTATTACTGGAGGATAAAGCTACCTTTACAGTAAAGAAACAAAAGTTGCAGTGTTCATGTAAATAAAAAACCAGGTAACAAATAATATAAGTAACGAACAATAGTTTAAATGACACTGATCCTTAATTTTGAATCATGTCCACATATTCCAGTCTAAATCCATGTATCCAGCATTGGCTATGGCAAAGCTATAGCAATCAATTTCATTTATGATGCCAAGTTAATACTGAAGCTGAGAAGGCCTAGGGATTTGATTGAGTAAACACCATTTGAGAGTTTATGATACTCAGGAAAAGAGAGTATCATGGGGAGGGATCCTTGAAAGCAGACATGAGCTCTTATAATCCCAGTAGATCAATTTGGACACTTCATATTTAATACTTGGAAGACCTTTCATGAAATGACGCAATGCACAAACTGGGCCCACAACATTTTCTATGTGGTATCCTCAGGAGGGTTTGCACTTACGAAATTAGATAATCATCAAAATGGCGAGAGAAATAAAATAATCAAAAATCAATATGAAGACAAAATTGTACATATTGTACATATTCAACTTCAATATGAAGACAAAATTGAGTTACATATTGTAACTCAATATGAAGACAAAAAATATCCCCACTCCACCCCAAAAAAAGGAAGAGTGGAAATTTTAAAGTCAAAGAAGATGTAAAAGAAGTTGCTGTTATTCCTGCAAATCTTCTCTCCTTCCAAGGTGATCATCTTCAATACCCACCTGTTATTCTCAAATCTGGGAACATTAATGAAGCATAAAAATCAACCTGAGCATGTGCAGAAAAATAGCTCTACACTGCCCCCTAGTGTTGGCCAGTGCCACCTCTTAGGCTAAAAATTACAAGGTGAGTAGTTCCTCTACTTCAAGTTACTTCCTGCTGCCAATGTCCAGGAGCTAAACATAGCCCAATCCACTACCCACAGATTAGGAAACAACCAGGCTATTTTTAGCATCATGCATCTTAGAAATGGAAATGGCCCAGCCTCAGATGGCAGCAATGTGTGTGGCCCTGGCTTAATGACCTCACCTCTTCTTAGGGTGTGAACCTACTCAGTAAAGTGGCCAATAACCCTGGGCTGCCTGAAAGCTCTGGGGCCCACTGTAAAATGATGACAGCATGTGGATCACAGGAGAGACTACAAGAAATGGACAGAGGCACCGAGAATCCAGGACATGCCAAGGCATGTGTAGTGGGAGAAATAATATGGGACCAGAAGAATAAAAGAAAAATAGAGGTTAGGAATGTTGTGCACTATTGTCATATGGAGAAGCATGTCTAGTATGAAGCAATATTTTGAATAGAACACTTATTTTACATGAGAAAGAACAAAGGTTGGTCTGATCTGCTTCCTGCCTGGGTACAGCTGGTGCTGTGGCTCCTTTGATCACTTTCTCCCAGCCCTCTGCAGGTCCTGTGATTAGAGGTAGATCCCCAGGCTGCCCTTTGATCAGCAGCTCAAGGAACCTGCAGGTGCCATGCGCCACCACATTAGCAAGTTGCAAGGAGCAGCCACATTAATGTTGGCTAATAAATGTGATCCTATGCTTTGGTGCAAAAGCAACAGATACAAATAATGTCCAAGAAATACTTATTTTATCTATTTTTGTACTCTAGAACTTTCTGTGCTTTCTTAGAAAGGAATACTTTATACAGCTTAAATGCAGAGCTGGAGCTTTAAAACACCCCCACATATAAAGAAAAAGTCAGTGTGACTTAAAAGCAGAACACACTTCATTCTGGTTTTCCAGGTATGCTGCTTGTGTTCATCTCACCTGGTTAGTGAAGTGATAGCATACTTGCATTGTAAGCAGGTGATATTCAGAGCAGAAAAAAACATGTACATTTATTTTCAAATAGCACTAAGACTTGTAAACAGAGTGTTTAATATTCCAATTTTAGACAGCCTACATTAACATTGTGGTTTTATGTGCAGTATAAAATTTCTATTTACAAAGGATTCTCAAAAATGACTTCATAATGGTAGATCAAGAGAAAAAGAGTTCAGAAATTGAATGATGTAAATCATATGGGGTTCAGAGGCTAAGCAAATTACACACCCCGAAGCTTCTCTGGCTTTATGAAAGGAGCCTTTCTCCAGCTCTGTGCAATCCCAGCCCAAGGGAACTTGCATTTGAGAGTTTTCTAAACATTTCAGGTACACTTGAAAGCTGAAAGTAATTCTCATTTCCTATGCAGGATTAAGTCGTTTCCAGCACACACAAAATAGCAGTCATTGACTAACACATACAAAAAACACACCACCAGAAAGGTAAGGACTTTGGAGTACAAAGGCACGTTGTTAAAAAAAAAATATGAGAACAAGAAAAATACTTTTTTTTTCATTCCCCTAAAACACGTCCACACGGTCTCTTGACCTCTGTATTTATCTACTTATTGATTAATCGATGCCTTTTCACCTAAAGTGCTTCAATTAATGCAGTCGATACATTTCCTGATGCCCCCACTGCCACCCCCTCCCCCAACAAAGTCAAACATCCCAAGACTCATTCATTTTGGATTCTCTTCTAAAGGCAGTTCTTGAACTTCTAACTCAGGCAATGCGCGATCCTGCAATGTGCTTGGAACTGACGTTCACAATCGCTCCCAGAATGTCCTCTCCCTAGCTGAGGCTGCAGTGGCACTCGCGTTGCCCTGTTAAGAGTTTTGTGGCAACTCCTAAAGTTGCAAACTACACGTAACCTCCAAAAGTCCACGCCAATGAACGGAGCGCGCATTTGCATGGATAGAGAGACGAGGATACCCTCGCGGGCTGGTCTACATCACACACCAACGCACAATGCCAACGTTAACACACACAGCGAGAATCGAGAAGGGGGAGCGTGGGGGGAGAGACTCACCGTTCTGTTCCTTGTTGCTGGAGAACTGGAATTTACTACTCAGGTTGGACTCAGCCTGAGTCCCGTGAATCTGGCCGGCCAGGGCAGATGTCAGCAGGAGAAGCCCGAAGAGGAGCATTTGGCTGAGTAGGGCGAGAGCTCACTCACGGCGGGCACTTGGGAAACGGCGACTCCGGAGTCTTTCACCACCGCCAGGGGAAGGCTGCACTGGGGTGGAAGCACCGAGCCTGCTCTGGCAGCAGAGAATCGCAGGGTAGTTTCCACATAATCCCATCCAAAACTTTTTCCTAGAGCCCTCTTCTGTGTCTCCAGTTTTTGAAAAGGATCAAAGCAAAACCTGGACCTGAACCAGTTTCCCAAGGTTTAAACAAATCCTGAGCTGTGCCGAAGTGGTGGGGGTGGGGGTGAAGGCGAGGGAGGAAAGAGGGGGTGGGGACGCGGGGGAGCCGGGGGAGCGGCGAGAAGTCACCAGCAAGTTGCTGGGAGCACCTGTCAGTTGGGGGGCCTGGACAGAGGCGAACACTCAAGGGTCGCGCCAAGTCAGTCTGGAAGCCAGTTCCGCAGCCAGCACTTTCTGATCAATAACAAAGCTGCCAATCGAGGTGGCTCTCCGGGCGCCCCTCTCCCCGCCCCACCCCCACCCCCGAAGGGGGAGGGGGAGGAAACCACACGAGGGCGCCGCGCTGGTCCCCCGGGCCGAGGCGCCGGAGCGGGGCCGGGGGCTGCGGGCCCAGGCGGCCCGGCGCGAGTGGAGGGGGCCGCGGTACTCTGACTCGCAGCTCCGCGCGCACTGTGCGCGCGTCCACACCGCCAAAGCACGGATCCCAGCACCTGGCTTGAGTTTTCCGCGACCAAAGTTCACCTTGTGCGGGCGAGTCCCCCGGCTCCTCCAAGCCCAGGAAAGTTGGGCAGCTCTGGGTCGCCGCGGGGCTCCGGTCGGGCCCCGTCCCCTCCCCCACGCCTGGCGCTCGGCGCTAACCTCGGGGCTCCGCGCGGCGTCTCGGAGAGCGCGGGGCGGAGAGGGAAGGCCGGGCGGCCGGGAGGATCTGGCTTGTCCCCTCCCCTTCTCTACCTTCCCCCTGCCGCGGCTGTCGGGAGGTGGGGGCCGTGGGCCGAGCTCTGGCGGAGCGGGGGAGGCCGAGCTGCGGTCCCGCGGGCTGCTGAGGGGGTGGCAGGGGGTCGGCACCTCTGGGAGGGGCAGCCTCGGCCGTGGCCGCTCGCGCCGGCCGGGCCGCCAGCTGGCTGTCCAACAGGTGCTGGCACAGACCCGGGGTACTGCGGGGCTCACTGCAGACAGGACCCACAGGGCCCGGCGAGGAATGCAGCCAGGGCGGCCCCCGGTTTCCTTTCCTAGGGCGCCCCTGTCCCCAAGTACAGAGCACGAGGGGGTGGCGAAGGGTGCTACAAGTGGGAAAGAACTTCCTGCGACCCTCCTCCTCCTGCGCTCCTGTTCCTCGTCATTTATTTCCAAGGGGATCCCCGGTCCCAAAGGACTATGCCAGGACCCGTGGCCAGACTTTCTGGACTGAAGGAAAAAGGGAAATTGAATTCAAAGATTTCCCTCCAATAAGCATCTCTGAAACAGGATGCAGAAAGCAAAAGTAAAGTCAAACAGCCAAAATAGCTGGATAAATACAGTCCTTTATTTATTAAATGACTACTGTGTCAGGCACTGTGCTAAGTAAGAGCTGGGGCCAAAGTCTCTGGAAACTTGAATACTATTTGGTTAATATTAAATTAACATCAGGCTCTACTGGAAATTATGTCTAGGGACACGCAAAAGGGCCCGTGGTTAGACATACATTCATAAGCTTTCCCACCTTACAGCCTCTACCGCAATGAAGCCTCCCAGACCCCGGGTAAGAGACTCCTCTGCCTTTATAGCAAGATGCTTGAGAAAGCACCAAAATCCGCGTGTGGCACGTGCCCGGCCCCACTTGAGAGGTTTGTACTGAGACCTAAAGTTCTCAGGAGGTTGTCTAAAACGAAAAAACATGTCAGCGGGGCCTATGATGGTTCCATGTGTGCTACATGTGTCTGTGACAGGATCAAGTGTACTTTCCTTATCGAGGAGCAGAAAATCCTTGTGAAAGTGTCGAAGGCACAAGCAGAGAGTCAGAACATGAAATAAAAAAATGAAGCCTTGGGGGGAAAATAAAAAAACACAATGAAAAAATGATAATATCACACAAGTGCCATGGCAGACAAATCAGAAGCATCACCCAACCTTTTGTTAAGCAAGTCAGTGCAAACAATCCAACCACCTGAGCCTCCAGGCTCTGACAGCGATCAGGATACTAACCTTCCTAAAACTAAGAAGTGGATTTTGAGCAGAGATATACTGCTAGACCAAACCAGGAGCTGACTCTTCCTCTGCCAAGCTAAAATGCCAACCCCTCTTTCTATACTTGGACACCTACTGAGAACAATCAACAAGACTTCTCTGCTTGGTATATTCTATTCTCCTTATTCCTTCTTAAAATTTGGGGGCTAGAGAAGTAGTTCCATGTGCTTAGCCTGCTGGAGGCTCTGAGTTCCATCCCCATACTAAAACGCAAAATATGAAAGAAAATTAAACAATGAATTCTGGGCTTATTTGCCCTTTGAAATCCTTACCAATCAGTCCCCTTCATTTTTTCCCCCTTTCCCAATTCTATCTTCAGAGTAGTGGATCTTTGACTTAAAGGATTTTACATTTTAGTGGATACAGATTTTTTATTTTATTCAACTTACCAGCTCATTCACATCGTTCCTGGGAATCCATATTTGCACACTAATTGTGTTCTAAAGGTGTTTTGTAAATGTGTGCAGAAGGGGAATGGTTCTCCATTTTAATAGCATAATGGGACATATAAAAGACATGCCTTCTGAATCCATTTTCATCTATTTATAAGTCATTATTCTTCAGTCTTTCCAATTTTATAACTTTAGTTTTCTAATCAGAACTTTTCTAATTGAGGTTGTTGCATATCCATAGAATTGAGTTTCCTGACCACCCACATGGAGTGTATGTGTGTCTGCAGTTTTAATCCATTTACTCTAACGAGACTGTAAGGGTGATGACTACTCTTTATTTTGTATCATTTCATATTGGCTAGAACAGTGCCTGGCACAGGGGGATAATAAATAAACACACTTGACTGACTGACAGGTTTCTTTATTGGAGTCACTTACATTCTCCCTGGAATTTCAGCATGAAGGTTGTATTTGAAAAGTTACAGATGATCTAGAATAATACTCCACCTCTGTGTTTCACCTCATCCATATTCTACAGATTGATTTGACAATTGCATTATAAATAAAGCCAGCCAGGTGCTCCTGAATGACCCCTAGACAAAAATCACACCCACATTGGCTGGTTGCCTTTCAATGTACTTGTGTAGTCTTTGTTTGAACTGCCTTAGCCTTTGGCATTGTCAACTCTCTTTAACACTTCATCCTCTGCCTGTGTGCCTGTTCCATTTCACATATGAACCTTTCCTAGAAAAGTGAAATCCTTGCATTGAAAGTAAAGTTTATGAAATCCAGAGTCTGTGCAATTACCAAACAATATATTTTGAACGAATTTGGCTTTGTTTTGGCCTAAGGCATTTTCCTTGAGGAAAGGCATCTGTCCCACCAACCAAGAGAAAATAATTTCAGACATTCTTTGTGGTTTTCATGTTTTCTTAAAACTTAGGAGGAACTGGCCATCCTGCTGCATGCATGAAAAGCACAACCTATAAACTCCTACTAAAGAGCAAGGACCCTGTACTTGGTTGTTAAATGTGATCATTTGGGGGAGAGGGAATAGGTGTTTCTACTACATTTTTTTTGTAAAGTGGAATAAGGCAATTGTTTTTTGTTGTTGCTGTCATCATCAGCCACAGACATTTTGGATGATCAGGCCCAGATGCCAATTAGCATTGAACTTTTTCATTGGTGCATTTTAACTGTGCATAACAGTGGGATTCATTATGCCATATCTGTACATGCACATGACATAATTTGATCAACAGCATTCTACAGTACCTTCCTTTTCTCTCCCCACCTCTTTCCCAGAACTGCTTGCATATTGGGCAATAAAATCTACCAAATTATGCTATGTCCATGTTTGAATATACCACAATGAATTATACACACACACATATACACACACACACAAAATTGAAGCAACAATAACAATAATTAGAAGGGAGCTCTGCAGAGTAAAGCAAATGGAATAAGCTTTTAAACAAAATACTCCCTTATCCAATCACTAAAACCCTCAGAAGTACAGGAACCATGGAACATTTTGCCACAGAAAATCAAATAATACAAATGTTCTTGCTCTTCAATACACACACATATAAACACACACAATTGAAAAGTTATTTTTAGATTTTTCTCAGAAATTTTTTTCTTTTTTATAAATTTAACTATACATAATGTTTTATATAACATTTTTATACAACATTTTAGTTATACATAATCCTAAGACTTTTGAGTATTTTAGTGGTAGGTAATTGAGCAAGAGTTCCTAACATTCAGAAAGCTTCATCAGATCTAAATGCCCATTGTGTCTCCAGAATGGATAACAGGCAACAACTTCATATACACATCAAAAAGACTGGACCAAGAGAAATCATTAATAAACAAAGAAAATGTCACAGACAAATCATGACTGTGCTTGGGGTGTGGAAGAAAGCAAATAAATACATAAATGAAGTAAGGACTCAAGTCTTAAAATCATTGTCTTCTCTCCTGACTTTCTGTAGCTATCAGGTCTGGAGAAACATGACCTGTTATCTCTGGGTATCTAGTATAGATCAGTATTCTGGTTTTCCAGCCTGGAAATAATAAAACACTTTTTCTTCTGGTGTCACATACCCTTACCTCTCAGCATAACTGCTAATCTAAGAAAAGGGTATCTGTTGTGGCAGATGAAAGACAAGTTTTCTAAGGCCCTGCTTTTGAAGGAGCAGATACACTTTTTAATTCTGCCTTTTGGAGGGGAGAGGGAAGGGGGGTAGTTAAAAGTGTGTGGCCCAAAGTAATGAATGACAAGGAGTGGTCTTGAAGTGATTCTCTGTGGCCTTTCTCATTGAAGTAGAGCTGCCACTTCCATTTTAAAATTACAGTTGAGTATGCACAGATTTTCCCAAAAGTCTCAGAAATATTTGTCTGACTCAGAACTCAGAGAAAGTAAGTAGTCAGAAACTGCAACCCCCAAAAGGCAAGCCCTGGTAACCTTGGAACCAGCACAACAAAAGATCATTTCACTGAGAAATGAGAGATCAGAAACAGCCTGGCTTTACCACCAACAAACAGTACAGCCTTGATCTAGGGATCCTTTCTGCCCCTGGGTTTCTTTTTCTTCACATAGGAAATGTGTGCTGGATTCTGTCTGGAGTCTTACTGCTTTAGAATTCGTTGATTCTGTGAGCTGTGATAGGTAATGTTGGCAATAGTTTTTCAACTTCTTTGTGATTCCAGGATAATAAATATTACTCAGTCTCAATTCAAGGATGTCCTCATGGTTGGCAAGAAAAATGATAAATGGGCACTTCTTCCTAAACTTGCCCAACCAAAGTACTCCTGTTTTAACTGTTACTATGATGATTTAGGAAGAAATTCTCCCGATAAACAAAAAGAGGTGTGTGGGGGTGGTGTTTCAAAATCACTGGCTAGGGCAAATATTAGGAATTTCATTGACTTCAAGGAAACTAAATAAACTATATATAGAATTCCCATTTTAAAGTTTATTATTTGATTGGTATGGTAAGAACCTCCAAAGAGGTAAACCATGGCCCAAGTGGAATGCCCAGGTAAAGAGAATCAGCTAGCAAACATAGCAAAGTTGTAAATAATAAGGAAATAATATTGTTAGCCAAGAACAAATGGCCAATCTCATACTGTTCTATAGAGTCACACCGGTGGAATGTGAAACAATCTGGAGAGCAAGGAGCATCCCATAAAAATGTGGACAGCAACCCAACACTATGTTTGGCCATGTCTGAAAGTCAATATGATGTCATTTTTCTCTCCCTTGAAATCA